GCATATTCGACTGTCGACCCCCCATTCGACCACTTGGTCATTATTGACCCCTTTGAAAATTTCAGCGAACCGTAAGGTGTCAATATCGATCCTATTGGGAATCCCTTCCCTGCAACTTATTCCTAAAGAAATTATGCCTATTTAGTAGGTATTCTAATTATTTTGCCTTTAGTATTGTTGCGAATTATATGCGTATGTAAATAATTATAGCCAAATTACAAGTAAAATTGCAGTATCTTTTGCATAATACAATAGTTAATGGCTTCAAGATACGAATTAAAATCTCTCAAGATACGGAGCTCTGCCGCAAAAATAAGATTACGTAGGTAGGACTGTTAAACATTGAGGTAAATAGCTATCTCGGTAAATTGGCGAGATATCGCCAAGCTAGCAAAGGTTTGGGCGTGTAAATTTCGTCGCCAAATTTGGCGAGAAATCGACAGATTCGCCAAACTTGGCGACCATTTAGCTACATTTTTGTCCGGTCCCTGTATAACTGTAATCGGTATTGCAGTTGAATAACTGTAACTGATCCCTATATGTAATTCGAACCACATTTGACCCTTATACGGAACTTTAACTGTATATGCCTTCCGGTAATTTCGAGGAATTAAAGCTACTAGAGATATATCGGTGGCCGAGGGGAACTATATATGCCCGGAAGGACATCACAGTTTTTAGTAAAGAACTGACTTCGGAGTACTGAGAGATCATCCTGCGAAATTCGCTCTTTACATGGGCTTTGCACTGCGCTATTCTTAACGATCTTAGAAATTTAAAGTGGTAACTACTGATTGCGTTCTGTCATATTGAGGAGAGCTGTATGAGTACTTTTACGAAAAGATCTAGAAATGTAAAGTGTTTCTTTCTTAAAATTAAATCTCATCAAGCTATCATCAATTGTGTGTGCATGCAAACTATTACAAATTCGTACGCACGCAAAAAGTTCTGGTGTTAGATTAAATCTAATAAAAAATCTGTTAAAGAAATTTGAAAGCGGGCAAAGATTACATGAGTAGCTCAAAAAAAGATTGAAATAGTCAAGAGAAAGCAAAAAGATAAATTCCTGCCATAATAGAAAAGAAATTCGAGATTATGAAGGGCAGAATTAGAATAGTTGAAATTAAACTTATAGAAACTGAAGATAGAATTTCAGCTGTCGAAAAACAAACCGATGACAATGTTTCTACTGCTGTAACCAAAAAAGTTGACTGCTTGAATACGTCCATAATAACAGCTGGTCATATTTCTGACGCTTTTAAATCCCATGTAGGACGTCTCGACCTTCTTTAAAACAATCTACATATGAGCGAAATACTCCAAACTCCGTCGAGAAACTAGAAGCTCTATCCGACGGATTGGAGCTGCGCTTTGGCGAAGTTCGTAAAAGATTACAGCAGGCTTCAGTCTAAGTCTCCCCGAACGAAATCCACGGAAATACTCCAGGAGTGGAGTATGCCACGGATGTTGAAAGGCTGCCTCATCTCGCCTATTCGGACTACCTAACAGAAACAAGGGACATCCAGCCTCTCCGAGGGCCTTATCGAAAGCGCCCTGAGATACAGAAAGCCCTGCGAATGGCCGATGTCAAGAATCTAAAAAGCGCGTTAACGTAAGCCATGAAATTCGAAGCAGCTAGCAGCCCGTAGATACCGCTACCCAATCAGAACTGCTCATTTCTAGGAGCCAGTGGGTATACTGACTGCTCGTGTAGACGAATCAACCAGGCAAGTCAATGCCTTGAGGCGGAATAGTAGTGACAACAAACTGACATTTAAATGCTGCAACTGCGGTGGTGATCCACGTACGAAGGAACAGCAGAATACCCAAGGCATGGAAACTAAGACCGCTACCCAGCAAGGAAGCGGGAAGAAAATATGTGTTCATCTCGTGGAGCGGAGGTTGCGAGATATTGAGAAGCCCAATTATAAAGCGCTTCAGATTTCTGCAGTGAATGGCTGAGGTAGTGGACTCTTCATCATGAGACGTATAAATGGAGTTCAATTTCAATATGGCCATCGATACAGCTGGTAATGTTGCCATCATCCGAAAAGATCTGGCTCAATGACTGGGAGGTAAACTCATCTGGATTCTGCCCTGCGTTACCCTCCAGATTGAGTCCAGCGATAGATTCGAAATTAATGGACAGGTAAACGTTAACATGAAGTCCAGAAATGCCGCCTACCATCATACGGCAGATATTACAGACCTTTCTGAAACGTCTCTCCTACGAAGCCGGTCTGAAATACTTGTATAACATCAACATCGTCCCAGAAAACTTTCGAAGAATGTTTGGAAACTATTAGGAACATGCTTCAGAAATTGGATGAAAGCATTCCTGTACATTATTCCCAATTCCAAAAATTCCTGGGAAGCCATTTCGCTTTTTCTCATCTTCGTACAACTTTAATCAGCCCAGATATTAATTAAAAACTCTGAAAACACTAATTTTCGCACTCATGTTTTCGAGTCGCAACAAAGATAAAAATGCGTTTGAGATAAAAATGCTTTATTTCGAAAAGTGCTGCCACTGCTCGCTTTCAAATCGTTTTGTTTATTAATCAAAAATTTAAGTTTTATCTATATATGTAAAGAACAATGCCTGTTTGTGTATTTGTTTGCGTTATTGATTTCTGATCAATTGTGATCAAATTTTTGCCACATTTAATAGACTAAAATTGAATATAGGTGAAATATTGAATGGAACTTGAGTTTTTACAACCATTTGATTAGAAAGACGAATTGTTGCTGATATAATGAGAGAGAGTTTGTTTATTTTCCTATCGAAAATTTTTATGTGGGTTTCATATCGTATCAGACTGAAAAAATGTGTGACTATGAATTTGCATCGTTATTATAGAAGAATTATAGTGGTAGCGTTCTCTCTGTTGTTAGATATATTACTTTCAATCTAACTTAACTGGGATCGGGTACTTTCAATAAGCGCGGATAAGCGTTTAAACATAAATTTAAAAAATCTAAATCGAGTTTTCGAAAAAAAAACCTTCATTGCATTGCATTGTCATCGTGAAACAGTGTGTGTCCAAAATTTGAACTCAATAGCTTATCAGGAAATACTAGGTTAAAAATCGATAGTAAAATTCTATCATCTGTAAACACCGTGAGTGAACTAAATAAAAGTTGTAATAGTAAAAGGCCACAAACAGCCCACAAGACTCATAAGAATCCTCGAAAGAAACTATTACAGAGAACAAACATTTCTTTAGTCAACAAGCATGACAAGAAAGTAATAATCATGGAATTTATTTGGAATAATAACAGATTTTCAAGCGAAATCTGTGATCATTTCTTATTTCATTGCGTGTTAGTGTCATTGTGTTTTATACGTATATTCACGCAGTAAGGAGTTGTGATGTCTCAATTTAAAAACTAAAATGCGGTATAATAATAATAAATGTACTTCTTTTATTTCTAAAAAAATATTTTAAATGCAGGATTTAAAGTTCGTGCTTTCGCTTCTAAAAAGATGTAATGTAAGACATTCATACATAAAGTTCTGCATCTTCGGGCATAGAATCCAAATTCTTCTTTCATAATAATATGTACTGTATTTGTTTTTGCGGGCATGCTTCACGAATGAATAAAAACGCTATGTAATGGATTGCAAATAAATATCCTAATCTGAATTTTAAAATTAAACAAACTTCATCTTTAGGTTATTTTACTTAATTTTTTTTTCTTTAGGAACGAAAATCTGAAAGAATTTATTTCTCAGCAGAGAATTTTATTAAGTTTCTTTATGCTCTCGCTGAGTATTGCAGGTTATTCATCTGCTCTTGTAATCAATTAATTCTACTAACACAATTTCTCCCTTTTTTAGTTTTATTATTAAGCATCGTTCTTTTTGTCCTTCCGCTACATGTCCTTGCTTAACAGCAAAATCACAATTTGTTTAAGAAACCGCATGTCATTAGGATTCTCAATAGAATGTTGCGGGCTGTCGCACTCTTTTTTTATATTCGCTATACTATTTTTTTGAAAACTAGCCGTTCATGTGACCAGACACCTAAAAGAGTTATCTAAAAAAGAAAAAAAAATACATGATGATTTCAATGAGAGAAATTTGTGTCATTCCATTAGAAATATTTAATAATTTTTATTAAACATCTTATGAATTTAATGAATTGTTATTTAAATCCGTCGTAGTTTAAAATATATTCTTAAGAACTGTGTTTATTGCTTTTAAATCGCTTAGTCTATTACTTAGTAAACTTTCAGATGAAATTGGAAAGTTGCAATTCCAATTCCGAGGAAATTGGAACCAATTCTTAGGCTTTAAATAATGAAAACACACAGGAAGATAGAAGTATTTTTTTTCCTGTAGTCGCAATCCGTTGCTTTCAAACAGCCTAATTTGCCTAAGATTAAAACTGAAAGATTTATAATATCTTAGTTTTGTGAATGTTAAAGTCTGGCGAGGTGGAGATTAAAATATTTTATTTGAGCAGTGTTGCCACTTCTCGTTTTTAAATCTCTGAGTTTATTAAACAGAAATTCGTTGAATTTGTACAAAATATGAAATAAATCAAAAATAAATTCAAAATTCAGAATTAGTGGCTCTAGGTGCCGTCGTTATATTCTTCATTATTTAATTTGTTTAATGGCGATAACATTTTTGGTAACAATTTGAAAAGTGATTCGGACACAAAAGTGAACCTGCATGCCTTTAAAATTTGAATGCATTCTAAGAGAATTCGGCCCAAAGTGCTCTTCTTCAACCATCCAAAATTTTCAAAATATTGTAACTCTGTTCAACACTTTCGACAATAGACGTGTCTGCGTGATGCTTTGCAGAGATGCCATCGTCACGATTTTCACAACGTGACAACAGGAAACAGGATTATTCATATTGTCCCATTGATGCACGATATATGTGAGTATTTGAGTACACGTCTGCTTATGAACATTTTAGTTTGTGTCATTACGTTGCATACAAATAGCTGTAAACACTTTTTATAAATATAAATATCTCCGCTTACCCCAGTCAGTAATTCTATTTTCCAAGAAGGTAATATCCAGTAACAACTCAGTAAAGGACCGATGTGGTTAGAAAGCACAAATTCAAAGCCTCTGGTCATCTGAAAATGAAAGATTATTTTGAAGCATGATATGCATCTAAAATAGGTTACTTATTTCAATTTTAAAATAATTCGTTAGACCGCATATTTTTGCACATAAAACGAAGTATAAATTTTCGTCGAAGTTTTAGTGTTTTAACATATATCTGTCTTATAAGACGACCCCTATTCTATTAATGAATGAATTTAGTTATGAATTTATTTAGATCAGCTATGCCGAACCACGAACTCCAGATGTACCTCTAGCAAGTTTATTTTCTTTCATTCGACAGCACTACCTATAGAAGTGCGTACTGAATCACGAACTTGCATGTGCTTCTAACAGGCTTCGCTGTAGGTTGTGTCGTGCGTTCAAACAAATTATACTATAAGTGTAATCAGCGTAAAATTTGTAACGTGCGGGCATAATCATGGAAATAACACAAAAATAATAGGAAGCAAGCTTCAAGTTTATAAAGTATATTTTAATTTAATTCACCCTTCCTATCTTTCCTATCTTCAGGTTACAGCTCCCTAACAGAATGAGTTTTTACTATCCCGTTAAATGCAAATAAGAAAGAGAATAGTTCAACTGACATCGACAGAGAGTGAGGATTCCTGAGTAGCGCGCGTTTGCCTTTCGGTTACGTCTCTGTAAGCTATTATTACGCTCGGGCCGTATTACGTACTTTTGATAGTTCGCTGGCTAATTTAATATTACGGGCCCAACTAGTTTAGAACTGTGTTAGCTTCGACTAAATCTCTTTAGTTAGTCAATAGTTAGTTAACTGTTATGCTTATTAAAGCTTTAAAAAATTACTAACTTTTCTTAAAAGAAGTTTATAAAGTTTACTTACAATCAAAAAGTTTAAAGTTTAAAAAATTAAGAAATAATAGAAAGTTAAAAGAAATTTAAAAGTTAAGTTAAAAATAAAAAAATGATTTTATTATTTAAAAATTTTATAATTTAGTTTTTAAAATTTCTTGAAAGTTAAAAAGTTTATAAATAACACATATTTATGTTATTTATTATTTTATTAAGTCATACTTAAGAAATTTTATTAAATTTATTTACTTATAGAGCTTTCCATATATTAAAATATCTCAGGGTTGTAGAATTATTAGGTTATTATTTTGAAGCATGAAAAATGAGCAATGCTGTCGCCGGGACTCGAATCTGGACCACTCGAATACACACCGTGTGTGCTACTGTTACACTAGTAAGACATGCAGAGAAAAGGGAGAAAATATCTTATATACTTCCCCATTCAAACTGGCGATTAGGGTACCCGTCGCCTAATCCTGGTGGTAACGAATTATTGCTCACCACCATTTAGTTCGGATGCCACTAGTCTTTTTAGAATTTTGAGAAGTCAGGAAGCTGAAGAAATCCGCAATGCCCTCTCTGGGACTCGAACCTGGATCTCTCGAATACGCTCCAAGCGTGCTACCGTTACACCACGAAGGCATACGGGAAGGAGAGAGAAAATACCTTATAAGATGGCAGAGCCATTAAGTGACAATAAAAGAAAACTTTCGCAATTGATAATATAATCTCGGCACAGAAATAATAGTTGTGAGACAAATTATTATCGGTGATGTAACACTTACGCCCATAGCAGCTCTGCACATAGGGCATTTGCACGCATAATCCCTACGGGAACATGAAATTTTGTAACAGATGTCAGAAACTACCATGTGATTTATTGAAATGATTTTTCCAAAGTAGGATCCATTCCTGCTCTGCTCGCTATTCTGAGTATTTTTTGTGAATTATTAGTTTTCTTTCATATTCTTTTTAGAACATTTAAGTAAAATAAATCTCACCTTTATTGAAGCATCTGAAGGCAGACCATTCGCACTATCGGTTTCGGAAGTTTCATGTTAACGCAAATTCTAAAGTGACAACATGGAGATGTATTAAAAGCAAGTCAGTTTAACATGAGCAACAATTATGCCTCTCGCCTACGAATTTTAGAAATCACCTTTAACTATTTTAAAAAAACTTATGTTGACACCACATCACTTTTTTGCAAGCTTTATAAATTATGCACATAATTTCCTGCACTATATTCAAACTTATTTCCTCGAATTATTCCAACTTTATTAAATTATCTCTCAAACCTAGTTAAAAATGACATTAAAAATTGAAAACTTTGAAATTAAATATTGCGATCAATTTTTGTCGTACGGGAGTTAAACTCTTTATGTTTTTTATATTTTCATATTGAGAAACCAAGAAAAACCAAACCTAAAACAAGTGAAGTCTCCCATGTCCGCTTCGGTTTCTCATGGGCTACCAGATATAATGTTGCATACATATGTTCTTTATTAATCTTGAGTTTGCTTTATCTCGGTTTCACTCTGTGTAATAATAATAGGCAAATTTCTGCCGTTATTGACTAACCACGGAAGATGAGACAGACCTAATAATCCTCTGAAAAAGTACTTAGAGCATTTTTAAAATAGTATCAGTTAGAAAGGCCATATATGAGAAAATTTAAAATATGATTTTATTAATCGATTTAACTTCGTTATGGAATTCCTTATTTAACTGTTAAATCATGCTTTTTTTCTCCCGCCTTAATTTAATACAATAAATCTTTTAAAAAAAGGGGTTTTTAAACTATAAGCTTCTGTTTAAAATGGGTATGATAATGAATGCATTAAAAGGCGAAAAATAGTTTATCATAGAGTTTAATGGGAATAATCGATTTTCGGATGATAAAATAAGTTATGAAAGAGGGGAAATACGCGATAAACTGTGATATTCTCAAATAAAAAATTCCTTACATACCCAAACAGTGCCGGATAAAAGTATGAGCTTCACTTGGAATGTTCCAAACGCCATTGTTTTTGCTGCGTCTTCTGCTGTAAATCTCCTACCTGTAAAATAAATTTCATACAAATAAACGGGAACTAACAATTTATCTTATACTGTCTTTACATCAACTAATTTTTAGAAATGTGCAGAAATTAAAACCACATTGGTTTCTAAAACCTAGGCAACAAACGAAAAAATTAGCATATTTGACAAAGAAACAATATATAGCAGCATAAGTTTTGTATAGACACCTGTGCATTCCTTAGGTATATTAGCAGGTATCTTCGTGCTTTGCCAACTGTTGAGCTCCTCCTCATGTTTGAGGGAGAGCACACCGGAGAAGATCTCCCATCTGTCTTCGCCTACACCAAATTTTCGAGAGGGTTTTTAGCTCTCCTCATATTTCGGGTGCCTCCTTATCGCACAGACAACTTACGCTAACAAACATCTATGTCTTCTGGGAATTCGAATCCGATCCCATCTGTACATCAGTTAGCGCCACTAACCACTATACCGGCTGGACGGCTTTCGTACATAAAAGGTGCACACAAGGTAGCAGAGATTAGCTTGGAGGAAAAAATTGCATGGCAGAGATTTTTAATAAAAAAATGCTAGGTTAAAAATGGTCTGTTATTTTACGAAATTCATGACATCGTCTGAGGAGAGGTATCATGACAACTTGAAAAGTCCAGAGACATCGGAAATCACTCAAACCCGAAATATTAATATATTCCCTCATTTGCCACTTGTGAAAATGGTATCAAAATGAAGCAAGTGTGTCGCGAAGCTGAAGTGTGGGCATCACAATTGTTTAAGTGACAATTTTCTATGTTTGCAAGAGCCGCTCAGCCGGTATAGTGGTTAGTTATAAACGATAAGCGACGAAGGACGTGGGCACTGTCCCTTTATCATTTGGGTTAATCAGTAGAGCACCACGTCCATCTTTATCTTACATTTCATATTACATTATATATTACGATACAAGATTTACACATTGCATTATATACTACATATCAAATTAATACCTTACCCTAACATTACATTAACTTCACATCAACTTATCACATTAAAATTCTTTCCTAATAAACCCTATATTGCTAGATTATAAAAGGGTTTATTTGCACAGGATTCGCTTTCACATTATACGCATTATATTATCATTATACACTGGGTACGCATTACATTATACACGGGGAAATTAATGACACATAGAAACATCATACGCAATAGAGGGTTATAAGCATGATACGGGTTAAATTATTCACAGGAAAATTAGTTATACACAGGTATTGCATTATACAGGATAAGTTATATACATGACAAACTGTATACACTGGATGCATATTGTATTGTCATCAGCACCATGCCAGTTGTACCCGTTACTCGATACACTGCCTACATCGTTATACATAATATTATTATACAGTTTGCATTCACATTGTTTCAGTTGGGTGTCATGTTGCTTATTAATCAGAACATACTCTATTACATATTACATCATGTATTATGATACATATGACACTATTACGATTACATTACATATTACATTATATATTATGAAACTTGCCTTACGCATTAGATTATGTACTCCATATCAAATTAACAAGTAATCAACATAATAACAAGTATTCGTTTATAAGTATTCGCAATATAAAATGTAATATGTAGTGTAGTACATACTATACTACATATTACATTATATATTGCGATACATGGTTTACACATTGCACTATATTCTACACATCAGATTGATAAGACGAAATAACGCCTTACCTTAACATTACATTAACTTCGCAACTACTTATTACATTAACTTTCTTTCCTAATATGCCGTATACTGGTAACAGGTACATTATCATCAGATTGTAATCATGTTGTTTTGCACTGGCTGCGCATTAAACACAGGATGCGCATTAAATTATACACAGGGAAATTAGTGATATATAGGAAAAACATTATGCACAGAAGGGGGTATGTTCATGAATGCGTGTTAAGTTATACGCAGGAGAATTTTATGCACAGGTGAAACATTATGAAGAATAAATTATACTGAATAACTATGTAATATGCTTGAATGTGCATATTACATTACTCCTTATACTTAAACCGGTAAGCTTTACAATGTCATTCTATACCGAAGTACATTACACTTATAATACATTGCTTAATCATTAATGGCGTATGTGCTCCGTCCGCTTATGTCAGTCCCCCCTCAAAGGGACTGAATGACACCAAACTACCAAAGATTACTCAAATTTTATCTATCGTGTAGCTCCACTACAACCAATGAAGCGGACAAGACAGTACCATATGATTCCTGCTGAGCCAGAACCAACCATTGCCACCGATAGCTCTAGTTCTATCAAGACTAACTTTGTGCCCCCGTAAAAGAGACTGCCTAGGTATAGATCCTAAATAGTACTTTAGGAATACTCCTGAGTCGATCCCCGGCGAGTTAGTGGTTAGCGACAGTAAACCGCTAAGTTGTCCTCGACATAGGTATACTTGAAATAGGCATGCGAAGTTATTTACCAACCCAGGGGGAGTTTGCTACTTGCTGCGGGCCACAGCCCTGGGCGATCCCGGCGTAATAGATGGTATTTATTGAATGCAAAAAGAAATATTTTCCTTTGCAAACAAAGCACTTGAAGATTACCTGCTTAGTAATAGCAACAATCAGCAAGGCCTCGACGAAGCCTATGATCAACTTAGAACTTTTTGAAGAGCCAACAAAACCAAGGCATAAAATAGCAACCTAAGAACACATTGGTAGCCCAAGACCTTCAAAAAAGAACGAAGCCATCTAAAAGCGCTACGAAGGCATTCGCAAACCACCCGTGACCAAGAAGTTAATGATACTGACTGCTATACCGATAGGCCCGAGTTTGAATCTCGAAGAAGGCATGAATGTTTATAAGCATTTGGAAAAGGTTGGTGATAGGAAAAGGTGGTGGGAAATCCCCGGACGGGTGAACTTCCTCAAAATTGGAGCGAAAGTCTTACATTTAGCTTGATGCAGCAAGATCTCAATTACCTGTACTACAGAGGTGTCGGTCTAGTTTCCACCTAAACCTGTCTGCAAGAATGCCAGAGGTAAATCAAAGCATATCAACGTGCAGCATCGAGAAGAATTATTGATATCTGCACAAACCATTTACAGATGAATAGATATACAGGTCAACTGCATGCTTTCCATTGAAACTCCTTTACAAAAGTGCTTCAGCTTAAACTAATCTCGAGGTGGTCTCAACTGAATGGAATACTTTGTTCTTTAAGGATAAGCCATGATTTGGTTTGCAAACCGACTCAGTAATCGTAATGGTTTATATGAAACGTTGATGCCCACTGCGAAAGTACATGTATAAACGAGAAGTTTGATGACTGGCACTGATTTTAAACTGCCTTTATTTATCTCCAAATCTTGTAGCGCGATATGGGGTTGAGATGCCATTAGAACTTGCCATCCTATTTGGCTGTGGAACACAGGCGACTTCGGCGAAAAGAAGAGACCAATATAATGCAGGTATTCGAATTTAACCTCGGTGTAGAAATAAGAGAGTGTTATTGAGTACACGCACAATGGCGTAAAAAAAAATTTTGCAAAATGGGGATGTTAAAAAATCGGTATCGAAAAGATCCGCGGAAAAAAAAAGGAGGGCACGAGCCACCGATATCTACGACTGGCCGGACAAAAAAGCCACCATGTCGGAACGCGAAAAGATCATAGTAGATTGTATAGAAATGGTGGGGCCAAAAAATCGGGGAAAGAACCGAGAAAATACGAGCACGACTCAGGCCAGGATGCCAAAGGGCTTAAAAGGCTCAAAAGGAAAATATTAAAAAAATGTTAGTTCCTCAGTGTAATTGAAAAGGATATATTTATTAATATCTCGTTTGTGAAAAGTCGGACCCTTTCATTTCTAAATTTACGTTCAGCAAAAAAAATCACAATAGTACACGGGAAAATTGCGGGTATAATTCGAGCCTCCCGAAAACGGGCGGAATTCTAACCTAAAACTGGTTACAATCAGTGGCGTTAAGCATCCGGCAAAAAAAATTAAACATTTTTTTTAATTAAATTAAGGATTTTTAAATTACAAAGATTATTTTTTAAAAATTATTATAAAGGAAAGTGGGAACTGCGCCTTTTTCCCTGGCCCCCAGCGCCGAGCCGGTAAAGTCGTCGGAACCTGGAAGTTCGTCTCGAGGTTCGAAACCGGGAACGGGGGGTGAGGGTGTTTGCGGGTTTCCAAGTGACGTGTAACAAGCCAGTTCCCTTGAAAGTCCTCCCACCGAAGGATCCCTCCCTGCGCCGCCCTGGGCGGGCCGAATAAATAACCTAATCTTTTTCCTCTTTTTTTTTTTTCCAAAAATATGTGTAAGAGTCAATTTTTACCTTCGCCGGTTCGCCTGGACTTGCTTTAACGTCAAAAATTTATGGTCTAAACTGAGGGAAGGGAAAAGGGCAAAAGCCGGCGGTAGCGGAAACGCATTAATCCCGAGAGTGAAAAAAAAGGGGACAAGAAGGCCAAAGGAGGGGGGAGAAGAGGGAACATCTCTCAAAAGCTGACTTGCTTTGGGGGGGTGTGTCAAGCGCGAAAAACCAACTGGAGAAAACAAAGGAGGGGGGGAACAAAAAAAAGGAAATCTACTTCAAGGAACGGGTTGGATGTTCAAAGAGAAACCACGGGAGTGTAACCCAGCAATACAGCAAAATGAGTTGGCTACGGAAAGACAAACGATTATCATTGCAGAATAAAGGGAAGAGCCCACTGGTTTTAAACTATTATGGTTGGATAATTTACCATAAAGTTTTAAGGCAATTTATTTCTTCGACATCATATTATATCATAAACGGAGCCTCCATGATGGCTCACGCTAATTATTAAAGATCCAGAATTTATCCAGGAAGGAGATATAGAGCGTAAAGACTTCGTTTTCCACTGATGAAAGCAGTCTTTCTTTCATCTCACGCCTTCAAAATGCACCTATAAGACTGATAACGGTTGGACTAAACTGATGAAGGGATGATTTAGATTATTAGGGAGGCAAAGTCGGTGTA